CCTCCTCATCATCCTCCTCCTGGTGGTCCTCCGCCCACAACTCCGGCCTGCGGCGGCCCTTCGGGGCGATCTTCGGCCACCCCCAGAGATGCCCGCGGCGAGGCGCGGCCGCTGGAATGGCCGGCGGCATGTGCTGGGGACGTCTTAGGCCGTGGTGGGCGCCCCTCGGGCCGTCTATCTATCTGTCCTCCAAGGGGAGGGCGTCCAAGAGTGGGGGGGGGCGCCAGTCGTGTCCGGCAGCACGTGCGCGGCACAGGGGGGGGGGGGGGGGGGGCGGGGACGCAGTGGAAGAAGAGGAGGCGCCATGGAATCTGGGGAGACATCGCGGCCCCCGCCAGGATACCCCCCCTGGTCATCACCCCCCCCTTGGCCCTAAGTATCACCCCACCCTGGTGGCCGCCCCCGACCCGTGAGCCCAGGCCCCCCTGCCGCCGCCCCTTCGCTCCGCCCGCGCCAGCACGTCCGCGGGCCGCGGCCGGCCAGGCCCGCGCCGCCTGGCACGCCGGGGCGCCACCACGACAGAGATCAGCCGGACGCCGACGTCCACAAACCTGGGGCGACGAGGTCCGTGCCCGGAGCAGAGGCCGCCCCCGATGGCTTCCTCTTCCGAGCGCGGGCCTGTGGCCGCGCTCGGTGCCGAGGTGCACCAGGGCCCCCCTCGGGGCCTCCGCGGGGGCCGGCGGCCGCTCGCTCGCCTCCGGAGGCCCCCCCGCCGAGGCCGGGCCCCGAGGCGGCGCCCCCCCGCCGAGGTCCGCGCCCAGAGCAGGGGCCTCCCGGAGGATCGCGCCGCATCGCCGATGCGTCGGCGATGCATCGCCGATGCACCGGCGAGGCACCAGCGATGCCTCAGCGACGTCGGCGGCGCAACGGCGACGTCGGCGTGGAGAAAACCGGGCCCCACATCGAGCCGCATCGCCGATGCATCGGCGATGCGGCGCCATCCTCCGACCCGATCTACTCCGTCCCCATCTGGGAGGCATAGACAGAGGTGGCGACATCCGAGACCTACCCCCCACCAGGCCATCGGCTCTCCTGGATCGTTGGTCGTGGAGGAGGCGGGGGCAGGGCTCGGAAAGGCCCAGGAGCTGCGTGTCGTGCCTCCCTGGCCAAGGCAGGGGGGGCGTGCCCAGGATGGGCCTCGCCAGGAGCGATTCGTCGCCCGAGAGCCCCTGGACGCTGCCGTGGACGACGCCCGCGCAGCGCGCGTCCTGAGGAAGCCAACAACGTGCCGAGGCCGCGGTGCTCCCGGGGCACCTCCGCCCGGGTCGCGTCCGGCACCTCGAGGCGGAGCCGGCCGCGGCGGCGAGGGCTGCCCAGAGGCCCGAGAGGGGGCAGCAAGGCTGAAGAGCGGCGGTACCTCCTCCTCCTCCTCCTCCTCCTCCTCCTCCTCCTCCTCCTCCTCCTCCTCCTCCTCCTCCTCCTCCTCCTCCTCCTCCTCCTCCTCCTCCTCCTCCTGTGCCCTTCCCTGTCCGAGCACGAAAGGACCACACACTCCCATAGTGGCTTATTGGGGTGCCGATCCGCGCCTCGCGACCTGAGGCTGCGCTGTGAGCACGGGTGCGGGCCGTCGGAGGCCCGAGGGGGCCAACCCGTGGGAGCGAAGGCCCCCCTCCGGCAGCAGGAAGCCACAGCACCTCCAGAAGTCCACCCCGACAGATCTGGCTGGGGGTCGTCTATCGAAAGCTGGGCGAGGGCTGCTAAAACCGTGGCTGCTAGAACGGCCCTCCCGGAAGGCAAAAGCGACTTCCCGGAATGAGGCGCGGCACGCGAAACAGTCAACGGTCTTCTTCCGGGAAGGACGAAGACAACTTCCCGGAGGTCGATTTTAGCAGCCACGGATTTAGCAGCCCTTGCCCGGCTTCCGAGTCTGGGCATGGGTGCCAGGCTGGCACGCATGCCTAGAGACCCAACAACCACTGCCAAAGCCTGACAACCAGCACCCAGGGCTACAGCTGCGGCCTTGACAGGGCACGGACAACCGCAGCGGGCCCCCAACAGGGCACGGAAGCCAGTGTCGAAGCTTTCCGAGCGGGACGCGGCCAACGGGAGTGGCCGAGGCTGGGCCGAGGAGGCAAGGGTGCAAGGGTACCCTTGGGCCCTTGGGAAGGCTGCCAAACCTAACTACGCGGGTTGACTGCAGCGTCGATCTTACTGGTGAGTGCGGGGTGCTGCAAGTGCAAGCCGTCAGCTCACGGCCCCGACGTCCGCGAGCGCGGTCACGCACAGGAGGAAGGCGCCGAGGTGGGCCTCTGAGCATCGTTTAACCGATGCCCATGCCCACCAGCGTGGGCTGGACCCCACTGGCCGATTTACCCCCCTGGATGGGGATATGGACTGCTCTCTTCGGGTTTCGAGGGGCGCATCCCCAACTGAGATGGTGAGACGGTGGGGCTCGAGATGTGGGTGGGGATGGGGATAGGGATCGGATAAACGATACTGGGCCTCGCCGAGCGCGACGCCGCCGCGCGCGTCCGCCCCGCAGCTGGGCGGCAGGCACACCATCGCCGCCGCGCCCGCGCCCAACCAGGCCGAGAACGCGGCCCCGGCCTCCGCCTTAGCGGGCGGCACCGCCCGACGACCCCTCGCCGCCAAGCCTCGTCGCGCCGACGACGGCCCCTCGCGCCGTGTGCGTGCGCAGCAGGTCACGGCGGGAGGCGCTCGGCCGTCCTTCGGCCTCTGGGGGCCCTCGCCGGGCCCTGGGACCTCCTCTGGAGAAAACAGGCAAAAACTCGGGATGAGAAGCTGGCCCTGGGGAAGGGGTCAAGACCTCCTGGGGCCCGCATTGACACCAAAAACAACAAACAAAAAAAAAAACAAAAAAAAACGTCGCCAGACGTCTGGGCCCTGGCCAGGCCGATCGTGGGCGCACGAGGGACCCACGGGCGGGACGCAGGGGGCTATGGGCGCGTGTGGTGTCGGACGGGGGTCCCCGCTCGAGCGGGAGCCTCCCACAGGGTCCGACCACCTGCTCTCGCACCCAGAGCCAATCCTGCTCCCTCCGACCCTCCTATGGGTACGGGTGTGTGTTGCTGTTATTGCTGTTGATGATGTCGTCGTCGTCGTTGATGTTGTTAGTGGTGTTGTTGTTGGTGTTGTTGTCGTTGTCGTTGTCGTTGTCGTTGTCGTTGTCGTTGTCGTTGTCGTGGTCGATGTTGTTGCTGGTGGTGGTGTTGGTGTTGGTGTTGGTGTTGGTGTTGGTGTTGGTGTTGGTGTTGGTGTTGTTGGTGTTGGTGTTGGTGTTGGTGTTGTTGTTGTGGTTGCTGATATTGTTGTTGTTGCTGCTGCTGCCGTTATTATTGTTGTTGTTGGTGTTGGTGTTGGTGTTGTTGTTGGTGGTGGTGGTGTTGGTGGTGTTGTTGTTGTTGTTGTCACCGACCCTGGGCAAAGGTCGGCCCGGGTAGGCCGCGGTGCGGTGGTCAGCCCACGGCCCCCTCCTCGGCGCCTGCGACCACGCCATCTCGACCTCGAACTTGTTCGGGAGCGCCGCCTGGTCGCAAGCGAGGGCATCCTCCGTGCTGGCCGGCATCGGATCAGGGGGCAGCCAGAAGGTCACGTGAACGCACCCCTCGGGCGTCCACGGACGGCTGCGGGGAGGCGTGCGGCGGGGGCCCCCCCTTGCCCTCGAGAGGCTGCCGTGCGCCCGAAGGTCTCGACGCATGCCCCTGGACTGGCTTTTCATCCTAGACAGTTGTTGTTGACGCTCCCAAGGCCAGGTGAGGGCCCCCCGTGTGATACTCTTTTTGGGTCGGGCGTGTCCTCCTGCAGCCGAACTGTTGACGAATAACAAGAAAAAGTCAAAGCAAATCTAAAAATACTAACAAAATGGTCCCCTGTAGAGGGGCATGCCCGACGTAATGATGCTCTTGCGACGCGAAGGGGTCTTGGGTCCGAGGTTCATGATCAGTTGGCCTTCCAGCTCCCCAGGATAGAAGCGCACCCTGGGCCGGATGGCGGACCCCACCAGGAGGTCCTCAGGGAGCGGCGAACATACATCCGTACAGTCGGGGCGTTGACCTAAGGAACCCTAAATAAGGAACGGGGCCCCTTCCTCCCATAAGTTGAGCTTCGATTTCCCATGGAAACAGAAGGCAAACTGCAGAACAATCAAGGAACACCGAGCCCCTCCCCAACGAAAAGGGTTCCTCCTTCAGGGCCCCGACTGTATCCCCGCGCCCCCTCGGCCTGGACTCTCTGGGGCGCGATCCCTCGCGGCTGCGCGGTCGCACGGAGACCCTCCACGCGGGGGGGGGCACCCGCGAACCAAACGCCCCCGCAGCCGCGCGGATCCGCGGCCCCAAAGGCCCAGGCCCGCGAGGAGCCGCGGCCACGAGAGCGCCTTCTCGCCCGCGGCCGCCGGGAGGTCCTGCACGCACTCGCCCGCGAAGGCCGCCCGGGCCGCGCGCGCGAGCGCCGCGAGCAGGGGGAGCTGCTGCCCCGGCGCCATGGCCGGGGCCCGCAGCGGAGGAGGGCCGGGCGCGGCGCGGGCAGGCGTGCAGCAGGAGCTCGACCACAAGAGACCTTCCACAAGGAATCCAATCCAACCCTGAGACCCCAGGACGTCCACGGATTTTCGGTCTGGGAACGCCACGCTGTCCACGACAAGGCCATCGAAACCCAGGAAACCCGGGGCATCCCGGAGGCAAGCAGGGTGTTTCTTGGCATGGGCTTCCACTGTAAGAGAGGGCCGGCAGTTTGAGGCGGGTGGTGAGCGTCTTTTGATCCTGCGTTTCGAAATGGGGCGGAAGGGGGGGGGTCTGGCTCCGGACCTCTGCTCAGCGCGGCCGTCTGCGCCAGGGTGCGCCCCAGGGGGGAGACTCCACCTGCTCGAAACGGGCGCCAAGAACAGCCAAGATCTACTCCATGAGGGGGGGAGGGGGGGGAGGGAGGCCCGCGCCGATCGGCAAAACAATGAATAAGAAAACGATCACGTGGGTGAAAATGCTCCGTCTGCATGGGACGCACAAGGACATAAGCCGTGTGGTGACAGACCGTGCGGTGGCCTCGGAACCCCAAGAGACCTCACCGCACGGTCCGTCACCGCACGGTCTTGGGACCCTGGAGGCCCCCGTCGCCCGAGACATCCTCGGAGAACGACCCAAGTCCCAAAACCATGCGGTGACCCCGAATCCCCACCGACTCACCACACGATGTGGTCACCACTCCCCGTTTGGGAGCCCCCGAACTGTGTGTCCTCCTCGGGGGCGTGCGTCCGACCAGAACATATGGCACAACCTTCTTGCAATACATCGCCTCCCAAGCGGTACGGCCAGAAAGCGCCCCCCACAGAGCTTACATTCATCGGCCTGACCTAAGGAACGATAAATAAGGAACGAAGCCCAGTTTTTCCAGCGAGTAACGTATAGGGAACGATTAATTCAAAGTAACGCATAGGGAACAATAGATAACGCATGGAAGCCTAAGGCACGACCGAGCCCCTTTTGAAAAGTACATATGTTCCTTATTCAAGCCGCTCACTGTATGCGACTCGCCCCTGTGGGGCGACGCACATACATAGTCCTAGGCCGGGCATGTCCCGCTACAGGCGGATCTTCGACGAAAAATAAAGAACTTAGTCCAACAAGAATCCAAAATTCAGAGAGTACTGGACAAAATCGTCACCACACTATCCCTTATCTATTTGGGAATAGCCCTCCCGTGGAGGGGCGTGCCCGACTTACTTTTTCGGTCGCGGCCGCAAGCGAAGAGGCAGGCGGCGGGCAGGGTGTCCGGGGCAACGAGCAAGCCTAATTACCTGCGAGAGGCGCACAAGCCGGCCGGCCCACTCACAAAGCAGCCGCGAGGCAGTGGGGGAGCTGACGGCGGGGGGCATCCTGGGAAGCTCGGGCGCGTGCAGTGGACAAAATGTCGAGGAATTCGATGCTTGCCATGAGGCACGGCCCACACAGTGACAAGACGTGTACCAGTGCCCGACCTACACGCAGCCTCAGCATGCCGCTGCGACGCCGCTCTGCAGCCTGGGCGGCGGGGCTCGGGCTCCGCGCCAGTGGTTCTGCGTGTCTCGCTTCCCCTCGGGTCCTGCCTTCGCTCCGCCCAGGCGGCTACAGGGCAGCTTTTGGTACATGGTACTTTTGATAATATCGGATTTTTAATACATGATCAATGTATGCATAAATTGATGCATGAACTCATCGTTGTTTTGAATACTAAGTCCCTGCATGTTTAATAAATGATCCGCACGCGGAGCATGTATTAAAAACGGCACTGTAGGCCCTGGCCGCCGCGGAACGAGAGCAGATAGACGAGCGCAGTCCCCTCCTCGCAAAAGTGCCTACCCGCAAATGGGCCGGCTGCCCCGCGGAGGATCTACGGTAAATTGCATGAGAGCAGACATGTTTTTTTCCAGACGTCTGCGTGTAGGCACTGTGCGAGTAGTGGAACGCGCCCTGTGAACAGAGCGAGAAAACGGCCCACGAGATCGCCGAAGCGCCGTTCGGCTCGGGCCAGGGCGGTGGGGGGGGATATTTGAGCGGTAGGTTTCGGCGGGCGGGCTGTTTTTGTTCGCCAGACGCTCTGAGATGCATGCTTTGACACTCCGAAGGGCATGATGGAACGGAGCGTTCAGAAAGCAGGCAGGTTCAGAAGGGGTTGAAGATTGTGGGGAGGCAGTTTCAGATGGCTGTGTGAGGAGACGGCGGTGCCAGCTTTAGGCTGGCAGTGAGGATAGTTGCGTGGCAGTTCGAGGCGGGTGCGTCCAGATATCCCGTCGAGCATTAAGTAAGTGTGGGGGACATTTGGGTGACAATGATAGGCGAGTTGGTGAGGCGTGTGGACAAGACATCTGGCTGACAATTTGAGGCGGGTGGGTGAGAATACTCCGTTTTCAATATTCCCTACCTAGGCTCTGCCTAGAAGGGTTCTTACTCTCTTGGCTTAAAGGGTTCTTACTCTCTTGGCTTAAAGGGGCCGGGCAGTGGAAACCGCCCCGGGCGGTTCCCCCAGTCCCCTGGGAGCCAAGCAAAAGCAACAGCAAAGGTAAAAGCAAACGCGCGGTTCCCCCGGTTGCGCTCCCTGGGTGCCAAGCAAAAGCAGAAGCAAAGGCAAAAGTGAAGGCAAAAGCGAAGGCAAAGCAAAAGCATAGCATAGCATAGCATAGCATAGCATAGCGCAGCATAGCATAGCGCAACATAGCATAGCGCAGCATAGCATAGCATAGCATAACATAGCCTAGCCTAGCATAGCATTACGCAGCATAGCATAGCATAGAATAGCAGAGCATAGCAGAGCATAGCATCGGCGGTTCTGGCGCTACTACTACTACTACTACTACTACTACTACTACTACTACTACTACTACTACTACTACGACTACTACGACTACTACGACTACTACTACTACTACTACTACTACTACTACTACTACTACTGCTGCTGCTGCTACTGCTACTGCTACTGCTACTGCTACTGCTACTGCTACTACTACTGCTACTACTACTACTACTACTACTACTACTACTACTACTACTACTACTACTACTACTACTACTACTACTACTACTACTACTACTACGGCTACTGCTACAGCTACGACGATGAGGAGAAGGAGGAGGACGGCATTTACCGCTCCTACGCTCCTACTAATGTTGCTTTCCTAGAGGCTCCAACTCCTAGGTAGGGTCGCACTGGGATAATTGACCGGGTGCGTGACGGGATATATGGATTGCACAGTTCAACTACTTGATGAGAATAGTCGTGTGACCCCTTTCAGCGTGCGGGTGAGGATGTGTGAATGTGGGTGGCAGGTTTTGACGGGTGGGTGGTGATATGCCGGTGGCAGTCGCAGGCGGGGGTGAAGGTACTTAGGTTGCAGCTCTTGGCGTCGTCTTGGGCTGTATCGCGGCTCTCCTGTGGGGGCCTTAGAGCCTCCACCGAGCCTCTTGGGCTGAATGCCGCGTTTTTGCAACTCTTCGAGGGCCCTCGGGCCGTCTTGTCGCCGTATGGGGCCGTCTTCGTGCCCTCCTACACGTCGTGACCCGCGCAGGCCCTCCCAGGCCGCGTTGGGGCTCTCTCGGGGCCCTCTTCGCCCGTCTCGAAACCTCTCGTGGGCTGTCTTTGGGCGGCCCTGCGGTCCCCCGGAACGCCCCCAGCTCGAACTAGAGCAGAGAAGCCTGGTAGGTGGAAAGCACTCAGAAGCCAACGGCTTTTCAAGAGTTCGGCTGCATGGGGTCTCTATGCGTGGGGTCTCTTAGGGTCACAGGCCCTGTCTAAGTGGCCTCTTGCGCCGTCCATAGAACCCCCAGTGACCATAGTCGGCTGTCTTTAGGACCTCCTGGAACAAACTCAGGCCATCTGAAATGGCTGTCAACATATCAGATTTCGCTGGCGACAGACTGCTGTGGCGCCTAAAAAGTCGAGCATGGAATTGGACGAGAAATTAACCGTGTAATGCCGCGACCTTTAGAAGCGAAAACATAGCGCCAACAATGTGGGCGACAGTACAAGACGCTTCGAAATCCCACCAGCCCTTTGGGCGACAGGTGGTCGGGCCTCTTTCCTCTTCCACAACCTCTCTTCCCTTCGGGGACGGGAACCCTACCCCTCCCCTCCCTGAGGTTTTTGGGGAAGAGGCCGAAGTGTCAGAGGGTCCTTGTTCGGCCCCTGGAAGGCCAAATTTTGACACCCCATCACGAGGATCGTGGCCCCGAGGGGGGAGCTACATTTAGGACCCCCCCCCTCTTTTGACCGACCGCCTCCAAGATGGCCCCAAGAGGCGTTCCAGGGCTACCAAGAGGCCCCCAAGAGGGCCCCAAGAGCGCCCCAAGAAGACTCCAAGAGGCACCCGAGAGGCACCCACGAGGCCCCCGAGCGGCCTCAGAGAGCCCAGGATGACATCCAGGATGGTTCAGATAGCCCAAACTGGCTCAAGATGGCTCCGAAGATGCTCCAAACGGCTCCACGACCGCGCCGAAACGGCTCAACGAGGCCACGGAGCCTCCCAGGCCCCCCTCGTTGTTTGACTATGCGTGTCTCTTCCTCCCCCCTGTCAACTCCCATGGGCATCGTTTCTGGATGGGTTAATGGTGATACGCGAAACGTCAAGAATTCAATTTACACATACACACGTATGCTAGCAATCATAGGCCCCAAACATTGCGTCGCTAACCGTATAAGTTGCGAACTCTACGTGGAGCGACACATGTTTTGCATCCACGCGGTGCACATTATAGCATGCAATTTATGTAACTGCATATATATATATATATTATAATATGTGTGGGAGCATGCCACGTGGTGAAGTCCATGTGGTGCAATATACGTGGTGCTATCTAGTCTGTGCATATATGGTGTGCAATATACGTGGTAAAACGACTGTGATATAAATAATGCCTGTTCGCACTGCGTTGTCAGATACACTGCTCGCACAAGCATCCCAACCACCCACACACCCACCCACCCACCCGCAAATTTGTTTGCAAAACCCACGAAGCGGCAATTGCGATGCCTGCCTTGGGTTAGCTGGCGCATCGCGGCGGCCGCGCTAGCGCGCGCAGAGCGCGCCAGCTAGCCTGAAACGACCGACGCAGGGGCGGTAGCGCTGACCAGTGGGGACC